GGACCTGGAGGCAGGAAGACCAAGATACTAACCTTCTCTGTCTCAGACACTAACTCACTGTTTCCCCATGGGTAAGTCGTTTAACTTTGTCCCTTTTTTATTCATAAACTGCTCGTAATATATCTTGTACTTCTGTCATAGGATTGTGTAGGGGCTCAAATGAATTCTTGCATATAAATTGTGTTCAGACATCCAGGTGCTTTGTAAACACCAGTTATTTTCTTCTACTTGCAGCTTTTCAAGGTCATTAACCTTCAAGTAACTGGGAGCAATTTGAGGGACTGACATTCCTGTAGTGCTAATAAACACAAGTAAATATTAAATTATGATATATAGCAATTAAAGTTATTAAATTACAAATTAAATTATTAAAATTAAATTAATAATGTTGATAAAAGGGATATTGTATGCAGGGTACTGCATTAAATTCTTGAGGAATAGGGTTAATAACAAAGTTTAGGTGAGATCTAATCCTTGCCCTTGATGATAATAGCTCATATTTATATACAAATGGGATTACTAATTGTTGGACAATATTGAAACAACTAAACAAAAAAGCATTTAAAACTTGCATAGTACCTTATATCAATTTTCTCATTTTAATCTCCCCATAACTCTGTAAAATTAATACCAATATTTTTAGTGCCCATTTACAGGTAACTAACCTGAGGCTGAGTGACTTAAGTGATGTGTTCAAAGATACACTATTGTATACAATTAATAAGGGTCTGAGGTGGTATTTAAATCCTCATCTTCTTGAGTCAAAGATCAAAGCCCTCTGCACTACACCACATTGACATACTGGGACTTTGGAGTGGAGTAGCACCTCTCTTTTCTTTTCTCTATGTCTTTGTGTTTTCGTGGCACCTGTTAACCCATTTGTCATGTAAAAGCCCAAAAGCCTGTGCTAATGATGATAACTCTCATGTCTACAGCACTTGATTTTGGCAAACACTTTCTTCACAGCTCCCCTGTTACCTCCATATTGAAAGAAATAATCCCATTTTCTAAATGAAAAGGCAGAGGCCCAGAAGAATTTAACTTTTGTGAAATCACATAAGAAATCATTGCATATACAAGTAAGTTTAGAACCTGAGTCTTCAGACTTCCAATCAAGTGTTCTTTCCAAATAGTACTATCTACCAACACTTGGGCATTTCTGAATAGAAAACAAATCACTTTTTCTGCCCTGGTGACCAAGAAGGGCTCTTTCTAGACATGGGAACTCAAGAAGACCCAATCTTGAGAACATAAGTGAGAAGGCTTGTCATAGACTATGTCTATATATATTTGATTCAATAGTATCAATTATGAAATTGCCTCGAGTAACATATATACGACCAACATTATTATAAATTTTGACTCTAAATGGGTTCCTTTTATTCTATTTAATATAGTTCCTATTATGATAAATGAAAATCCTTGGATGCATTAGTTGCAAAATTAGATTTTTTTCTACTCCCCTAATGGTTTATGAGATAAAGTTTAATTATTTATTTTTTCTTATTTATAAGTCCAAAATTAACTATATTAGAAAAAAAATGTTCTTTTACTATAATGTTATGAAGACTCATAAAAATCTTTAAAATTAACATAGGTTAAAGGTGTCATAGGATCATGAATTAAGAGCTGAAAAGATTCTCAGAGATAATCTGGTCTAATATTTTTTCTTTATTGATGAGCAAATGACATCTATCGTATTCTAGGAGTAAAAGACTGCAAGAGGATTTCTGATAGATAACACAGGTAGTAGGAGTAGTGTTAGTAATCCAAATAATAACAGTAGATAACACTGACATGGAGTTTTAAGATTTTCAAAGCATTGTATAGAATTATCTACTTTTATACTCAGATCAGCCTTAGGATGTAGGTGCCATGAATTTTATCCTCTTTTGTCTTTAAGTGAAGTGAAGTTGAAGTGGAATGACTTGTCAAAGTAACACTAAGAAGGGCTAGGAGTCAAATTTTCCCATGAAATGAGAAATAGACCTTTCTTCTCTTTGTCTCTCTCTGGTCTCTATTATACACACATAGATACACACACATTATATATGCATATATAATATGCAGATATTATATATACATATGTGTGTTGTACTTATATATATCGTGTGTGTGTGTATGTGTAAAATAAGTGGTCAACTGGCTCTTCCGTCAAGATTTTAAGTGAAGAGAAAACCAGCATATGTCAAAGCAATCCCTTCCACATCTGAACAATGCTATTTTTAGAATATTTTCCTTACATTAAACCTAAATTTGTTTTTTCTTAACTTCTGCCTTTGCTCCTGATTTTTCCTTTTGCATACAAATAGAACAAGTCAAATCCTTCCTCCATATGCTAGTTCTATAGTTGCTTGAAGATACCTTTAATCCCAACCCCTGCCCTGACACTCATCTTTGATCTTCTCTACATCAAGTACCCTCAGTTCCTTCCACCAATATTGATACAGCAAGATTTCAAAATCCTTCTCCATGCCGGCTGAGCTTCTCTGGAGAATCTCAGGCCTGTCAATGTCCTTCCTAAAGTGTGGAAGGGATGACTCAACACGTTGCTCCTAATAAAGAATGGGGGCAACCACCTCTGCACACCTGGATACTGTGCCCCACCACTCAGTGTCAGGTCAGATTGGTTTTCTTGGTAGCCGTGTATGTCACAAAGTTGTGGGGATCAAATGTTTGAATGTATTTAAAGTACTTGGCAAACTTTAAAGATGCAGCTTTGGTAGAGTAGGTAGAGCACTGGGACTAGAGTCAGAAAGACCCAAGTTCCAATATAGTCTGAGACATGGCAATACGCTGGGCAAGTCACTCAAAACCTGTTTGTCTCCATTTCCTCAACATTAAAATGGAGAAAACAGCATCTTCCTATCTAAGTGATAGGAAAGACAGAGAGAATGAGACAGACAGAGACGATGATGCAGATATATACAGAGAGATAGAGACAAGGAGACAGAGACAAAGACAGACAGAGAGACAGAATGAGAGGAAATTCTGGGAGATGTCCAGATAATTGAAATGCCTCATCAATAATATGTCATTCCTTTGTGCCAAGTTTGTGATGTTTACCAAATTCATGACCTACTTCCTCTTTCAAATGTTATTTAGAACAACGTAATGTTATGCTAATATTGGTATAAATAGTTTCCACCATATTTGCCCACTCAGGTTCCTGGATTTTCTTATATGAGTATACAGTCTGTGTAAAAAAAAAAAAAAATAGAAAACCTGCTGTTACCTATCCCGTTTCATTCAAATAAGAGAGAAACTTTTTTAGAACTACATTCCAGTTAGGAGTCCCTTCCTTCAAGTCTAAATGTTACCTTGTTACCTAGATTTGATTTCTTGTGTTACAGATTCTGGTTCACTTTGCTTGTTAGGCATAATTCCTTGGGACACCAATAGGCTACCAGAGCTATATGTCTCTTATCCTTCATTCTTCCCACCTAACCAGCTCTACTCCTTTTCCAACCTTACATGCCTTTTGGCAGACTTTTGTACAAGTGACTCCTGGTCAGATGTGAGCTAAGGTAGGTGACCTCTGAGGAACAATAATGACTTGAGATTTTTTGAATCTGTTTGCTATGATTTTTTCAAGATACATCTTGTTATAAATAATGTGTAGCAGCCTGTTTATAACTTATCTGAAAACTTTCTTCTAATGTCTCATGGTAATAGAGATGAAACTAAGTAGCCCAAGTTAGTGAAACATAACTGTGGCAGGTCCTTTCAAGTTATAAAGGTTTATGGCGGAGTCTGGGGATGGACTAAGTATTTGCCTGATGTGCAAAGGTCACCTTAGCTTTGTTCATATAGAAAGAGTTACCATTTAAATAAATGAGCCGATAAACATTTTCAAGTGCCTATTGTGTGCCTACCACCATGATAAGAACACGAATACAAAGAAGGGTCAAATATAATCCCTGGCCTCAAAAACTCACAATCTCTACATGATACGAAAATAACTATGAACAAGAAATATTCAGAATAAATTGGAGATTTTTTTTTGAAAAAAAGAAAAGGCCTTAGAATTGAGATGGATCAGCAAAGGCTTACTGTATATTAGATTTTCACTGAACTTGAAAGGAGGCTAAACCAAAAACTGGTGATTTCTCTAGGACCCAGAAAACAATATATTGAATGAAAAGACATAATGTCCCTGTTTGTGAATACCTTCTGCTTCCACAGTGGCAGTGGTAGAGAGTTGAAAAATGGACAGGCTGTGGGAGGGAAACAAATTTAGAAATCAGACAAATATTGTTCAGTGATTCACCAGTGGTGTTTTGACTGATGACTCCCAAAACTAGGCAACTGATGTCCACTGGCAGCTCTTTCTCCTCAGGAACTGGTGACTTCAGTCCATTGCATCCACCTTTCAGCTGCAATGATTCCAGGACTAAACAAGATTCCAGTGAAATCTCAGCCAACTTTCTTTGATCCTCTCCTTCCTTTGTCTTTGAAATTTCTTCTTATTTTATTCCTCTGTCTTCTCTTTTATTCTTCTTTTCTGTCTTCTTCAACAGAGTGAAGCATATTCATGGGAAAAGGGTCTAGTTCTCCAGCCCTAACAAACAATAATCACCCTTCTTATGCCAGAGAAAAAGGCATTTCCATTTCCTGAAGTTGGAAATGCCACTTTGGGGATTGTTAAGCTTGTAGTAGATTGAAAAAACATTAGAAGTAATACATGGGGCTCTTGCTCTCTTTCTCTTTCTCTCTCTCTCTCTCTCTCTCTCTCTCTCTCTCTCTCTCTCTCTCTCTCTCTCTCTCTCTCTCTCTCTCTCTCTTTCTCTCTCTCTTTCTCTCTCTCTCTCACTGGATCAATGACTTTGAGAATGTAGAGTAAGTGCTATGATAACTACCTAAATGGTATTCACCCTTATTTCTAAACCTCACATAAGATAGGTCTCTGATCATGTTTTATGTCTTGGAGTCATTCATCATGCAGAGTGTATTTTTCTGATAGTTACTCTTTTGTTGCAGGTGAATGGCATCCCCCTCAAATGGCATCCATGGAGAACAGAACTGAAGTGAATGAGTTCATCCTCATAGGATTAACAGATGCACCAGAGCTTCAGGTTCCTCTCTTCATAATGTTCACCCTCATCTACCTCACTACCTTGGTAGGGAACCTGGGTATGATAGCCCTGATCTACTGGGATTCTCACCTCCACACCCCCATGTACTTTTTCCTCAGCAACCTCTCTCTGGTGGATTTTGGCTACTCCTCAGCTGTTACTCCCAAGGTGATGGCTGGGCTCCTCGTAGGGGACAAGGTCCTTTCCTATAATGGATGTGCTACACAGATTTTCTTCTTTGTGGCCTTTGTCACAGTTGAAAGTTTCCTCTTGGCTTCCATGTCTTATGATCGCCATGCAGCTGTGTGTAAGCCCCTACATTACACCACCACCATGACATCAACTGTATGTGCATACCTGGCCAGTGGAACTTACATCTGTGGCTTTTTAAATTCCTCCATAGTTACAGGAAATGCCTTGAGCCTCTCATTCTGTAGGGCCAATGTAGTCCATCACTTTTTCTGTGATGTTCCCCCTCTCCTATCTATAACCTGCTCTGATATTCACAACACGGAGATGATAATGTTTATCTTAGGAATATTCACTGTATTTTTTCCCCTTCTGGTTATCTTGGCTTCCTATCTGTTCATCATCTTTGCCATCCAGACTATCCATTCTGCTGAAGGCCGCCAGAAAGCGTTCTCCACTTGTGTTTCCCATCTTATAGCAGTGTCCATATTCTATGGGACAATCATCTTCATGTATTTCCAACCCAATACCAACCATTCCATGGACACGGACAAAATGGCTTCAGTGTTTTATACCATGGTCATCCCCATGTTGAACCCTCTGGTCTATAGTTTGAGGAACAAAGAGGTCAAGAGTGCTTTCCAGAAAGCTCTCATGGGACAAAGAAATCAATTAGATCATCTTTTTTCTTAGGGAAAAAGTATAATATGCATCTTCCTTCTCTTGGATCCAACTTTCACTTCTGGTGATATTTCTTATACACTCAGGAGTTTGATTCTAATTTGTCTAGAGACAACATAATGTCATGGAAAGAGCTCTGGACTTGGAAGGAAGGGAAACCTAGATCTGAATATTGACTCTCACCCTTTCTGGCTGTCTAATCACACAGAGCAAATCTGGGCAAATCTCTGCACTTCTATGAGACACAGTTTGCTTGTCTGTAAAATGGAGAAAATAATACTTGATTAATTACCTTCCTGTGTTCGTGTGAGAATTAAATAAGATGATACATGCAAAATACTTGGAAAACAAATCTGCTACATTGAAATATGTGTGGCATTTTATTTCTTTTATTTTAGGAAGTTAGCCTGATACAGATATAGGTCTCATCTGGAAAGGATTTCAGAAACCAGCCCTGTGATAAATATTAATGTTTGTGCCAGCATCAGGCAGAATGGTGAAATCTCTAATAAAATCAACAAATTGTAGACCTATCCACTGTCCCCTTATGTGGGTTTCATAGACTGAGACAGCCTTCATGTGAACTGATGACAGTCTCAGGGGACAGATTCTCTTCAGAGGAACAACTCTTACTGATAGTGTAGAAAAGGAGCTATACTCTCTCTCTCTCTCTCTCTCTCTCTCTCTCTCTCTCTCTCTCTCTCTTTCTGTGTGTGTGTATGTGTGTATCGCTGTATCAATCTCTGTCCGTCTTTGTATTTCCCTCTATCACTGTTTCTATCTCTAACTTCCTCCCTTCCTTTCTCCCTCCTCTTTCTCTCTCTCTTTGTGTTTCTCTACATTTCTCTATTTCTGTTTGTCCCTATATGTCTTAGTCTCTATCTGTCTATATCTGTCTGTGTCTGTCACTCCATCACTTTTTCTATCTCTCTCTCTCTGACTTCTTCCCTTCCTTTCTCTCTGTCTCTGCCTCTTTGTGTCTGTATCTCTCTTTCTCTTTCTCCCTGCCCTGTCTCCATACCAGAGCATAGCAGCACAAACTTGAATTCTTTGCCAATGTGCATTATCCTTTCCCATTACTCCAGGAACAAAAATGACAACTTTGGTAAAGGGACACGATGAGTCAAATGCACCTAAAAAGGGAGTTCAAGTTTCTGGTCACTTTTTGCTTTTCTCTTCAATGTCTGAGCACAGATCAGACACCTATCTGATGATTGACTTCCCTAGTGCCTAAGATGGCAGCAGTCAAAGCACTTAGAGGGATTTGCTGCAAAAGTCCATGGCCCATATTCTGGGGTTCTCATTTGGCCACTGAAACTTCTAAAGAGAGAAGAGATTTCCTGATGCAGCATGGTCTTTGGAGAAAGAGGAGGATCAACATAGTTCATGCTCACTGTCCTACTAGGAGAGCAAAACCAGGCACTCCTTGGGTAGGGGTTGTGTAGTGAACAAAGTGAACAAAGAGAGAGTGCAGGCTTTGAAGTCAGGAAAACCTAATTTCATATCTTTTCTCAGACAATTATTGGCTCTGCAGCTTTTGGTGAATCATCTATTCTATCACCCTCCTGCTTCTCATCTGTAAAAATGTTAATAGTAACTACCTCCCAGAGTTCTGCTGAGGAATAAAGGAGATACCATATAAAGTGTTTTGCAAACCTTAAAGCACTGTATAAAAGTTAGGTGCTTGTTACTGCCATTGTCATCATCACCATCAATCATTAACATCTTTTGAGAAAGAGGATCAATGATTTAATTCCTGCACACCCTCATACTTGGAGAGCAAAACCAGTAAGTTGCATGGACAGTGCAGATTTGATGGGAATGATTTTCCTTATTCAGCAGCACCCAATGTAGGAACACCTATAAGAAGGAATATAAATCACCAGTGGTCCTGGAAGGACCTGGAAGGGTTTGTGTATTATCTTCTATAATAAAGAGATTTCAACAGCATTTCAGCACAGTATTCCGATGACAACCCCAGTTTCACTTCCGTTCTAACTGATTAGTTCTTTATGTGCTTTATATGTTTTTGCATTTGTTTAGGGGTTCCTGTGAGGTTTGTTTTTTGTAGGGTGAAATAAAGAATTTCTCAATATTATATTGGTACCATGAATGATTGTATATGAGTTGTAGACCCATTTAAACTACTTTTTTAGAGAAATCTAGAAATAGGGATACTATTTATGATGATGATAAAAAATGTTGACTAGAAGAGGACCAAATATAGATTTTTGGAGCACTCCACTAGAGTCTAAACCCCAAACTGAATTGAGCCATTGACACTCATTAGGCCTGGCCATTCAACCAGTGTATTCATGTCTAGCCTACCTTTTTCTATCTTGTCCCCAGGATGGCATGAGAGACTTTGTCAACCACTTTGCTTCAAACTCATTAAACTGTATCTATTATATTCCTTTGATTCATTAGTCTACTAGATCTTTATATGCATGTATCCTTCAGGAGCATAGCCCCTAGGAAGACTTTGCAAGGGTAAAGATGGACAGTTATAATTATCACAATTTTACAGATCAGGAAACTGAGGTACAGAGAATGATATGACTAAGTTAGTTAGAGGGAAATCTAGGATTCCAACTGGCTCTCTGAAATCTAGGTTTCAATACTTTTTGGTCTGCAGTACATTGTCACTTTCATATTTCAGTGTGATATTTGAATATCACAACAATTCTGTGAGCTATATAGGCAAGGAATATTAGCTTCATTTCACAGATGAGTGAGTTGAAACAGATATTAGTAAAGGGCCTTTCTCAAGGTCCCATTTCTAGGAGCTCAAGGCCAGGACTCCCAATAACCAAGGTTCTTTCTACTCCACATCCCTAACAAGGAACTAAGAAAGACAAAGGCAGCCATAGGAAAATGGTCCCCATGGACAATCAGTGTTTGCTCCCCATGGTCAGAGAAGAATGTAATGGTTTGTTTTGTATATTAGTTGTCTGTAGAGCCAATTATCTCCAAGGGGGCACAGTCTCCCAGGTCTGTATAAAACCCCTCCCTAATCCTTATCTTCAACCACTGTCATCCAAATGTGTCTCTTTCAAGGCACATTGCTGTGGGACTAAGCTAGTGAAGGAGTCCATTGACTCACCCAATCATTGCTTTTCCATTGTTCATTCTGAAATTCAACCTGAGAAAAGATCACTAAATCTACTGTCTTCCATGTAGCAACAATGGCCAAGTTTCATCACTCCAGATCTAAGGACTTTTGAAGACTTAGCACCAGGTACTGGGGGAGACTTTCCTCATCATTTTCATTGTCTTCCTCAGTCTTAGACTTCAAGCCATAGACCCCTTGTGAAGGTGTCTGGCCATCTTTCTTCTACAGACACCCATCAGCCTTTCTCCATGAGAGTTAGGTTGTGAAAAATCCAGTTTAAGATTCCAAAATTCATCTGGGAGACAGTAAGGTCATAATGCTATAGGGGTTTAGATCTGGAATCTGGAAGATTAGGCTTAGATCTTGTTTCTAAAAATTATGACCTGTGAAATCATAGGCAAATCATTTCATCTCTCTGAGTCTTAGTATCAATTATAAAATCAAGATGATAACACATATGACATCTTCCTGATAAAACGTATTGTGTGGCTCAAATAAGATAAGAAACACCAGATATTTTGCAAGATTTAAAGGTCTCATAAATGACAGTCATTATTATGGACCAAGCTTGAGCTTTTGCCACCTATTCTCTGGTTTTAAGCAAAGGAGCAATCTGAGAGGAGACCGATGATAATGAACATTTAACAACAAATCAGTGAATAGTAATAGGGGGGTACTGTGTACAAATCATGGTTTTAAGGTTTGGGGCAGATTTCAAATTAGGAAAGACATGATTTCAAGCCCTGGTACTAACATCTTATATTTATATTTTGCTTTAAGGTTTTCAAAATGCTTTAAAAGCAGTGATCTCATTTGAAATGCACAATGACCCTGAAAGGTAAGTGCTACAGTTGTCATCTTCTCCATTTTCCAGATCGGAAAACTGAGAATAGGAGAATTGATGTGAATTGTTCAGGCTCACATAGCTAATAAGTACCTGAGGAAGGATTCTTTTCCAAGTCTTCCCCAAATCTAAGTCTTTAGCTCTATTCACTAAGCTTAACTCCCTCAATAAATTCACTCATATGCTAAAGCATGGAACTGTCTCATCATTATCACATAGAGGCGCCAAAGTCTATAAGGGAAATAATAACTCCTAGTTTTATAACTTTTTTTAAATGTTAGACTGTCTTTCTTTATAAACTCTTTTTGACTGATGTAATATAAATGATATTACCCTTTCATAGGAAGGGAAGGTGAGACCCAAAGATTTAATTGTGTTGCCTGAAATTCAATTTAATTCACCAAGTGCCTGCTACATTCCATTCACTGATAGAGATGCTAAGGATAGAAGACAAATGTGCCCTCAAGTAATTTGTGGTTAACTTTAAGAATAGAAAATTGCCTAGATAAGAACATAAGAAAAAATATTTTTGTTGTTGTAGTTGTTGTAAGAGAACCAGTAACATCAGGAAGGTGATGTTTTGACTTGCAAGTAAATTGTATTTTAGTAAGAGAGGGCTGTGCAAAGTCACCAGCCTCACTCTCTCTTCTGGAGCCATCTGGGTTCAGTGGCAAGATATAGATCAGGACAGCTGGAGATGGCCGCTGATATAGGGGGAGAATTTGTCCTTTTTAAGTTAAGGTCTTTCCCAACGTCTTAGATTATCTGAGGCATCACCCCTTCAGTAATTAAGGCTAGGTAAGAAATAAGAGAAGAAATGATCTCTTCTACCTAGTCAAAAAGAAAAAAAATAAATTGGGGGGAGGGGAAGACCATCAGGTTTTATGACTAAAAAAAAAAAAAAAAAAAAAAAACAATTGCTATTTTCACTCTCCCCGAGCCATCAGAACCCAAACAATGACCAAGTGAAGCTTGGGATGAATCTCATTTTTAGCCAATCAATGAGAATCAGAGTGATTTGGGTTTAAGACATGGTCTTTAAAAAAGAAATATAGCCTATAAACCCTGAGATATCTTGAGAGGTTTCAGCAATCAAAATTTACATTCCATAAGATAAAATTATACACACAATTCAGAAGCTCAAGGTATAGTGGCTGGATAAGTAACCTCAGAGGCAGGCCTGCTAATTTCCCATAAGCTAGGATTAAAGCTCATATATTCTGACTTCTTGTGTGGTACCTTTTTATTTCCAAAAATAATTTTTAAACACCGTGTAATCGATGAATGAAAGAAAATCATTTTGGATCTTTCAACTTGTTTTGAGTACGCCAAGGTTCTCTTAAACTCTATCTACAAACTTTGGTTCACCAGAATTATCATCAAGGCAGAGTAGCTATGTTATTGACATCTCTCCAAATCTTGTCACTAAGCTGTCTATGTTCTGTTTGCAAACAAGTCTAAAGAATTTGCTACAAGTGAAGAGAAATTGCTTTGTTTTCTAAATGTGTTTAGGTGTTTTTTGTGAAGCTATTCTCTCCCACCTCCCCCACCACATACACACACACACACTTGTTTGTACACTCCATTCACTTTCAATTTCTGTTTCATCAGGGTAATAGAGGATAGTAGTAGCTCTGTAGACTGCCTCTGAAGTTTCCTCCCTATTTTAGGAGTTACATAAGCCCCCTACACCTAAATCAGTTACCCAATAAACAATTATGAAGTGCCTACTATGTGGCAGGCACTGTGCTAAGTGCTGGGGATACACATACAAAAGAAGGAAGTTCAGATTCCAAGGTTCTTACAATCTAGTCAAGGAATACAGCACACAAAAAGAAGCTAAAGGGAGAGAAAGGGGACCTATGATCCTATGAAATTTGAATTCATGCCCCAGCCCAAGTGTATGGGCACACCATTGTGCTCTCTCAGTCGTTTTAGAGAAATTTATAAACCAAATAGAGTTTATCAAATGTTCTTCTCCACTGCTCTTTCAATTGGTTCTGAAAAAAAGTTTTGAGGATGTTTTATCCTCACTACAAGGTCCCTGTTAGACACCTTAGAAAAATTCTATTGAGACAAACACATCGCTATTCATTCACGCAGGAATTATTGCCACTCCCCATTCTTGCCACCCAATGACATGATATCTTATTAAAGAAGTCAATATTTTGTTGCTAGAATAGCTCTGTCTTTTCCATGACATGTTTTTCCCCCTCCATTAATGTAGAGTACAACTTGTGCATGTCTTCTGAAGTTATCTGTCTTTTGTCCTTGATTTGCCACAAATCCTCCATGAAGCCTCAAGCCAGTTAACATGCACAAAGCTTTTGCTTTAATCTTTTATTTATTTAGGAGTGCCATCTGTTATCAAGTTCACCATTCATGAATGAGTTTCCCTCCTTCTTTTCCAGAATATATATCCTTGTTGGGGTAGAGTGGGCTTAAAGCTTAGAAAGACTTTGTTGAATATACACATGAAAGGTGTATATTATTCCTTAGGCTTTGTTTTATAAAAATCCCTTTCTGCTTCTAACTAGGAGGCAACTTTTAGGATAAGGCCCTTCCCAGGCCACAGTCTGTCTGAGGCAACATCAATTCAATGATCAAAGGCTAGGTAAGAATTGGAGAACAAAGAATGAACAACAACAAAGGAAGCAGCTAGGTAATACAATGGTAGTATGTTGGACTTCCAGTGAAGAAGATGAGTTCAAATCCTGCCTCCAACATTTATCAGCCATGTGACCTTGGGAACTCAGTTTCTTTCTCTATCAAATGGATATAACCCAAGCTCCTACCTCATAGGGTCTTTGTGAAGATTAAATGAGATAACATAGTATTTTGAAAACCTTAAGGAACTATATAAATGCTAATTTTGTTATTATCAATTATATCATCATTATTAGTCTAAGTCATCTGAATTAGAAAGGAAATGAATTGGAGGATTAAGAAATGGAATTCCATATTCTGAGAGCCCATGGTAGTTAGTGAGAAGGCAGCTTTCAAAATTGATGTTGACTGAGTGCGGTCTAGCATGCCCAAATCGAGCAGCAAGTTACATTATTTCACTTGCCTCATGTTATAAAAAGTACCTAGACAAAGAGATGGGCCTCAGTGACTCACAAATGTGGTTCAACGGATAGAATTAAACACAGGGACAAATGAGTTCAGTGGATACTTTGGGTCTGGAGGAGACTTAATACTACTGAACACCAGTAGGCACTAGGCCTGGCACAAGCAGCATCAATGATGTCATCAGGAAACATTTGCCCAGGTGTGTGAGCTGGTCCACATCCATTATATCCTAGCCACATGCATTACCTATGGAGTGCTTTCCCATGAGTGCACCTTGACATTGGTGTTTCCTATATGTGACAATAGACTCTATAACGATTTCCTACATGTGCCCACTAATGTTGTCTATTTGTAGAAAACTGGGTTCCAGGTTAAAAAGAGGAAATGTTTGATACTTTAGTTACTTTGCCATTTCATAGTAAAGAGAGGATAACCCTTGGGATCAGGAACAAATGTGTTCATGCCTCACCTTTGACACATAGCAGCTGTGTGGCTGAAGGCAAGTCATTTAACCTCTTAGAGCTCTAGGCAACTCTAGATATAAATTAGAAGGCAGAAAGCTACATAGATAGCTATAGTTTCCTCATTGGAGAGGTCTTATGAAAATGTAAACCACAGGTCCAGTGTCTATCTGGATCCTCATTTTTGTGTGTGATTTCATCAAATACATTTGTTTTACCTGATTCTCTCCTTAGCCTGTCTAGAAAAAAAAAAAGCAATCAATGAGGGCTTATGAACTCCATTCTCAAGTGCATATGAACTCATGTATTGCCTTGAATCTGTAGTAGCTTTGTCTGGGACATTGACTAAGTGAGTTGAAAAAGAGGAATTGTGATCTGGAGTGCTTCTATTACAAAGTTGTAGAAGAGATTACCAGGGAGAAATGATCTGATGGCCACAGATTTTTTTACTGATTTAAGTATCTGTGATGCTGTACTCAGGATTGACCAAATGAAATAGACCACTTATATCTATGGTATAAGTTCCATTCTCAGTCCTCATTTGTGTTGTAGTAGTAAACTCAGATTTCTGAGACTATTTCAGTGAAAGGCAATCACTGTTGGGGCCTCCAGGAAGCCTTCTCTACACTGTAAGTCTTCTAGTACAGCTTATTAATGTTTCCATCATCAAATAGCAGCCAGGATTAAAGTAGAGAGCTTCATCATCAGTGGCTGGTTGCTAAGGAATGATTTTGGGGATTTGGGGCCATTGTAAATCATGAAAAGGACAAAAAGTTAAGAAGGACTTCAGACCTATGTGAAGTCCCCTTCTGATTTCACAGAGTTCATGGTACAGCTTGGAAAAGGGATGGTGTATAAGAATAAGAAATGTCAAATTGAAATATGTGTTTGTTCAACTTTTATTTTCAAAGAGGACCAATGATGTCACAGGTGACGTATTGACTTTTGCATGAATTGGATGCAACCTCACATAATTTGCTCTTCAAAATATAATGTTCCAAGACCTACAGTCTTTTAGTGTAGAAGTTTGTAGGTCTTATGAAATCCTGATTGTTTTTCTCCAGTATTTATATTGTTTTTTTTTCTTGTTGCTTGCAATATTTTCTCTCTAACCTGGGAATTTTGAAACCTGGCTATGACATTCCTGTAAGTTTTCTTCCTAGGACTTGTTGCAGGTGGTGATTGGTCAATTCTTTCAATTTCTACATTACTTTCTTGTTCTAGAACTTCAGGGCAATTTTACTTAATAATCTTTTGTAATAGTGTATCCAGATTTTTTTTTCATCGTAACTTTCAGGTAGTCTAACAATTCTCAAATTGTCTCTCCTTGATCTATTCTCCTCATCAGCTGTTTTTCTAATGAAATGTTTCAGATTTTCTCCTATTTATTCTAGTGTTAGTACTTCTTTGTGTCTTATAATATCATTCAATTCCATTTGCCCAATTCTAGTTCACAAGAAGTTATTTCCTTCCTTACAATTTTGTATCTTTTTTTCAATTAGTTAACTTTCTTTTCATAATTTTTCTTTTTCTTTCTATTTTTTCTTTTTCTTTCTAATTTTAAATTGCTTTTTCTTTCTATTTTTTCCTCCTTCTCTTTTATTCAATTTTAAATTTCTTTTTATTTTCTTCCTTATAATTTTGTATCTCTTTTTCCAATTGGTTAACTTCATTTTTTTCTTTTTTTTCTTATTATTCCCCTTTACACACTCTTGCAGATTGTTCCCCATTCACAATATCTCATGTGTGCCAATATGTCCATAAACCAGAGTCTATGCCTTAGAGGAATTCATTGTGCTTAGATATGTCTAATAATTTCCTTTTTATTGCAGGTGAATGAGCAACTCCCCAAATGGCATCTGTGAAGAACAGAACAGAGGTGAGTGAGTTCATTCTCACAGGAATAACAGATACTCCAGAGCTTCAAGTTCCCCTCTTCATAATGTTCACCATCATCTACCTTATCATCTTCATGGGGAACTTGGGGATGGTAGCCCTTATCTCCTGGGACTCCTGCCTGCACACTCCAATGTACTTTTTTCTCAGTAACCTCTCTCTGGTAGATTTCGGTTATTCCTCTGCTGTCACACCCAAGGTTATAGCTGGTTTCTTCACAGGGGGCAAGGTCATCTCTTACAATGGATGTGCTGCACAAATGTTCTTCTTTTCAACCTTTGCCACTGCTGAAATTTATCTCCTGGCTATTATGGCCTATGATCGACACGCAGCTGTGTGTAGGCCTCTACATTATGCCACCACCATGACATCGAGTGTGTGCACTTGTCTGACCGTTATTGCACATGTCTGTGGATTTTTGAACTCTGCTATTGTCACTGGACAGACATTTAGCCTGTCCTTCTGCAGTTCCAATATAGTCCATCACTTCTTCTGTGACATTCCTCCTCTCCTGGATCTCTCCTGTTCTGATGTATACATCAGTGAAATGATAATCTTTATCTTAGGAGGATTTGCTGTCATTTTTGGAATCTTGTTTATCTGCACCTCCTACCTGTTCATCTTTATTGCCATCCTGAGGATTCATTCTACTGAGGGCCGCCAGAAAGCCTTCTCTACCTGTGCTTCTCACCTCTCTGTGGTGTCCATATTTTATGGGACAGTCATCTTTATGTACTTACAACCCAGCTCTAGTCATTCTATGGACACAGACAAAGTGACTTCTATATTCTACACCATGGCCATTCCCATGATGAACCCTCTAGTCTATACTCTGAGGAATAAAGAGGTCCATGTTGCTTTCAGAAAAGCTATGCGGGGGCAAAGACTTCATTAGGCTTAGCATTTTTCTCAAAAGAAAACAATAATTTGAACTCCCTTTCTCTAAATTCTATCCCCGAAGTCATGATCTTTTCTTAAGTATTCTTAAGCCCAGATCTACCTTCTCTAGATTGTGTGATATAGTAGAAAAAGGATTATCTTTAGAGTGATGAGAAATATTGATTTGAATGCTGGATCTAACACTTACTAGTCATGGGACCTTAAGAAAGTCTCTACCATTGATTTGTAGGGACCTGTGACAGATATTATTAGTACATTGCAGTGCCGAGGTGACAACACCTGAGTCCAAAGCCTACTTCTAATGACACTATCTGTGGGACTTTAGATAAGTCAGAAAGCCTTTATGGGCTTTAATTTCCTTCTCTGCATAGTGAAAGGATTGGACCAGATGAACTTTTAGGTCTTTTCCAGCTCAAAATTAGTGATTTTATGATAATGGGGAAGGAAGAAATAGGTTTACAGGATTACCATTTAGGACCAATCAATCCATAAAGAAACATTAATTTGGATTCTGCTATATACTAGGTGATGGGGTTACAATGACATAAAATGAAAGTCTCTTACTCATTGTATTACAAAGGCTCATATTGTCTCCCAATGATTGACTGGTTGAGGTGCAGGAGGCCAAAATCTCCTCACAGGTTCTGTTCCTTCCTTTGGCCAGTAAAAGTGAACTAACTGCTCCCTCTTCCTCTCTCTCTCCCTCTTCCTTTCTCTCCCCTCTCTCCTTCTCTCTTTTCTCCTTCCCCCTTTCCTCCCTTCCTTATCTCTCATTGGGTAATTTTGGAGAGAATAGTTTCAATGTAATGATGTCAAAAGTCAGATTAGAAGAAGTTAAGAAGAGAGTGATAGGAGAGAAAGCAGGGGCAGCTATTGTAGATGGCCTTTAAGGAGTTTAGCTAAAAAGGGAAGAAGAGATATAGGATGATAATGAGGATGAGATGATCAAGTGAGACATTTTTAGGATCGGGAGATGTAAGCATGTTTGTAGGCAGTAGCAATGACTCAGTTGACAGGGAGATATTACAAAAAAAATATGAAAAAGTGGGGATAAAAGAGGAGACAATCTATTGAAGAAAATGGGATGGAATAGGATCACTTAAATAAGTAAAGGGGTTAGCCATGATAAAGAGAAAGGCTACTTCATCATGGCATGGTTGTGAAGATCGAGATAGTCACAGAAGGCATCTCAATGATAGGAGATGAGAAGGAGGGGAGAAATGGGAGCTCACAGTGAATAGCCTCAATTTTTTCCTATAGAACATTAGGAAAGCTTCTTAGCAGATATAGTGAGAAGAGCATAGCCAGGGGAGGTTTGAAGGAAGATAAAAAGTTTGGGGAGAATAGGATAGTGAATTGATGAGGGAAGTAGAGTAGGATTGCTTAGTAGCTGAGAGGGTCCAGGTGAGGTTGTGTAACTTAAATTTGTAGTGGACTCGGTCAGAATTGTTACATGATTTTCTTCATCTTAGTTCAGCAGCATGTATATAGGAGAGAAGGTAGAGAATGCTGGGAGCATTCCAAGACTGAGGTTTGGCTGGGTACAATCAGCAATATTATAGGGGGGCTAGGGAGGGAGACAGTGTAGAGCTGAATTGATTCACCAAAGGGCCAAGTTGGCAAGAAAAGGAATAAGTGGCTAATGGAGGGGAAAGGTCCCATGAGACATCAAGGGATTAGAGGTCATAGTATAGAAGTAATATAATATGAAAGGAGTAATAAATAAGACATAATAAATAACAAATAAGATACATAGTTATATGCACACATATGTGTGTGTGTGTGTGTGTGTGTGTGTGTGTGTATAAAATTCAAGGTAACCCCTGGCTTACACCAGCCTTGATCTTTCAATCAGATTGACTAAGCATATAATCTTTCATGACTGACTCTTGAGTTTTTATGTGAAATAATCTCAAGCCAAAGAAAAGACATATGTATATATGTGTAAGTATGTGTGTGTGTGTATGTGTGTGTGTTTGTGTAAAATTTCCAAGTAACCCCTGGCTTACTCCAGCCTTGATCTTTCAATCAGATTGACTAAGCATATGATCTTTCATGACTAATTCTTGAGGATTTTTCCCCCCTCAGGTCCTCCTGAGTCCAAGGCCAGAGTTCTTTTCACTACGCCACCTTGCTGCCCCTGACTCTTGAGTTTTTATATGAAGTAAACTGAACCTAAAGAAAAGAGATTAGATTTTTTTAAAAAATAAAAAATGAAAGAATATATAGTAATCTCTCTAATTGGACATGAAATAGAATAGAGAATTTGGGGAGATATTATATGGTTTTGAATTTCCCTTATATCTAGAAGATGTGACCGGAAGAAGCAGCTTTAGGGTAAATACCTAGTTCCAAGTGGTCTATCAGGACCTAACTGTCTAATAATAACAGGTAGTATTCATTATTCCCATTTTGCAGATGAGGCAGACAGAGGTTAAGTGACTTGTCTGGGATCTTACAAATAATCATCTGAGGTGGGAATTTTAACTGAGATCTTTCTGATTCCAGATCCAGAACTATGTCCACTGTGCCACCTTGCTACCCTTCCTGCAAACTCTCTGCTGTCTGATGCAGTTCAGCTTTCCTTTCTTTCTCTGTGATCTCTCATTATCCCTCTGCCTCCCTTAGCTCTCCAGCTCAGCTTTGAGGACACCATCTCTACAGCTGCCACTGCTGCTCAGTTCATGGATTCCTAATATATTCTTCCATCTTCACTAGCTCACAGACTGTGTATATTCTTCAAAATTTCTGGGCATGATTCAAATCCAGCTCCTGACACAAAAATCATGATAGTCCAATCTCTCTCAGACAGAGGAGGGACACTTGTCTATCTCAAGTTCAAAATCTAGATCATCAGTTCTTAAGACTCTATGACACACAAATTCTTTTTGTTGAAGCCAGAGTTTCCACACTATTGGCAGGAATGCCTGGTCATTTTGAGGCTTAATTCTTATTTGCTGGAGTCCTCCTGCTGCTTTTCTATGGTATTTAATTCTTTGTTCTTCAAGAATCTCTGAGGTGCCTCATTCAGGATCCTGTATTCTTTCAGTATACTTAATATGGTCTTATGTAGGATGAAGTCTAATCACCATTCCTCTGTTCTGAGCTCACCAAGTTGCTGACTGCAGTTTGTATCTGGTTAATACAACTGGAGAAGGAAATGACAAATCACTCCAGTATCTTTGCCAAGATAATAGCAAAATGGCTTACAAAGAATCAGAAATGACAGAAATGACTAAATAACAACAATACAACTGTAGGCTTGCCCCTGTTTGGAGTTCCAGCAGACAGCTGCTGGCTTGGTCTCCCTATTAGTTAACTTTCAGGTTCTCTAGGTTCAGAGAGACAGAGCTGCATGTTCACCACCGGTCTGAGCTCCCTGACCTAGTTACTCAGTTTTATGCCCCTGACCACTCTTGGGAAAGAATATGAGCCTCTGTCCTTGGGCCTGTGCCCATTCCTTTCCTTGATGTAGTCACCCACACCTAGTTTAGGTGATCTCCTTGATTCATATTGTATCTACCACCTTGCACTTGGTACTAGTAACAGAACTAGCATTTGGCTCATCCATCCCAGATTTAGGATAATTTCTTCCCCTAGTATCCAATCACAAGACCCAGTTCAGTCCTTACCCTTTAAAGCTGTGCAACACCTACCTGATTACAACCACACTTTTGTGCCTAAATACATCAACCTATTTACTTATATTTACTTGGGTTATACAAATGACTCACTTTGATTTTCCTTGGATGTCCTAATCACGTGCTAGTCTGGTGCTCTTTCTAGGTCCTTGTTGAAATAGTTATGGGAAAGAGGTAGGAATGTGAGAAAGGAATATTTCACTCATATATAATAACTAATTATTGTATTAGGACCAAGGTTTTTCCCCTTTTCTACTTCTTCACATAGAAACCAAGTAGTGCGCAAATACAAGACTCAAGTTAAACATGGAAGAGGCAAACAGGAAAGAGAAATCATAAAAGACTTATTAAGGTTGAACTGTTTACATTCCTGCAGGGAAAGATGATATTTGTAACTCATGAGTCTTTTGTCAGTATCAGGGTAGTGAGAGGGGAAAAAATTATATATATGTATAGATAGATAGAGAGAAAGAGAGACAGCACAGGGTGAGTTGAAGATGAAGAGGTGATATCTGGAAAATAAAATTAAGGGTTGAGAGAGGATTATACTGGGAGAAGGAGAAAGGGAGAAGTAGAATGGGGTAAAATATCTCACATGAAACAGACGAGAAAAGGCTTTTACAGTGGAGGGGAAGTGGGGGAAGGTGAGAGGGAATGAGTGAATCTTATTCTCATGGAATTTGGCTTAAGGAGGGAATAACATACACAATGGGGTATGGAAATCTATCTTACCCTACAGGAAAATAAGAGGGAAAGGGGACAAGAGAGCAGGGGCTGATAGAGGGGAGGGCAGATTGAGGGAGGGGATAATCAAAAGCAAACACTTCTGAGGAGGGACAAGGTCGAAAGAGAGAATAGAATAAATGGGGGGTAGTATAGGATGAAGGGAAATATACTTAGTTTTTCACAACAGGACTACTATGGAAGTGTTTACATGACTACGCATCTATAACCTGTACTGAGATGCTTGCCATTTCAATGAAGGTGGGTGGGGAGGGAGGAAGGAAGAAAATTTGTAACCCAAAGTTTTAAAAACACATGTTAAAAATTAAAAAAAAATTAATAAAACAAAATTAAATGCAAAAAAAATTGAAGCAAGTTTCTGTGATAAATGCCTTATTTCTCAACCATATAGAGAACTCAGTCAACTTTACAAAAATAAGAGCCATTTCCCAATAGATAAATGATCAAAAGGTATGAACAGTTTTCAGGTGAACGAATCAAAGCTATAACATGTGAAAAAGATGCTTTAACTCACTACTGAGGAGAAATGCAAATTAAAACAATTCTGAAGTACTACCTCATACCTATTAAATTGGCTAATAGGACAGAAAAGGGAAATGACAGATGTTGG